CTCCCACTCCACCGAAAACCCACGCTCGCCTCTCCTTCTCTGCGCCGAGGATCTCGCTCGACTCAAACGAAACCCTCACCTGCTTGGCTGACTCAGCTTCACCTCCTTTCCAGAGATCTCATCCACGTTGGTGATCCCTTCCGCGGCCTATTCCCCATTCCTTGCCGTGCTCTTGCCGAAACAGCGTCAGATGGGTTGAATGCTGTTCGAATATCTTCTTATGTCCGGGTACCTAGCGACCGCCAACCGAAGTTGGATTTTTTTTTTGTAGGCAATGCTTATTCCTTTGATTATGGTGCTCTTTTATTTCTAGTTTTGCTACTGATCTCATACAGATGAAATGTTTTAATTCATGATTCCTTATGTTTCCTGTCAATAGAGGGGGGAATATAGAGCAATGCTGAATGTTTATTGATGGAACATTTACATACTTACCACTTAATTGCCTCATGTTTACATATCTAATACCTAAACTTTAATTCTTACACACATACCACACAATTCTTAGGTATTTACATTCCTAGCACCTAAACAACCATATTTACATGCATACCATTCAATCTTTGTGCATTTACATGAAAATGTGTATTTCAACTTTTTAAGGATAGAATCACGATATTTGGATGTAATATGAAAGATTTGGGTGGTATAATGTAAGAATTGAAGTTTAGTTTTGAGATATGTTAACTCATAGGAATTGTCATGCAAATCTTTATTCGATTCTTCTTGACCGGATTTTCGATATTATCGTTGTTTTGAAGAAGAATGAAGTTGTTTTGAAGAAGAATCGGAATGTCGTTCTAAGTTGTCATTCTTACTGTGTTGCCTTGACTTTTTCACGATTTGGATACTATAAATTGTTGGTTTCAGAGGCTTTATATGCCACCTGAATGTTGATTCATTTACTGTTCTTGAGGGGCTTTGTGCCCCATTTAAATGTTGATTTTGGGGGGATTTACTTGTTGTTTTAATGCTGTTTGGAGGATAATTAAATGATGTTTTGGGGACTGTTTTGGACTAATTTTGTTGCAGTTTTTTGGAGCTTTAAATGTACACTTTTAGGAAGGTTTTGTCACTATTTTGGGGCTGATTTAGATTGGTTGTGCTGCAAATTTTTTTGGTACCTTTTTAGGAAGGTTTTGTCACTGTTTTGGGACTAGTCTAGACTTTTTGGGACTAGGTTTTGGGACTAGTCTAGACTGGTTTCGCTGCAACTCTTTGAACATTTTTAGGGAGGTTTTGTCACAATTTAAACGCACAATGTTTTGGAATGTTTTGGGATTGTTTTATTCACCGGTTTGGTCACCATTTTAGCACTGTTTTAAGTTGTTCTGGAGGCGTTAAAAGCATCATTTCAGGGTTGTTTATGCACTGTTTTGGAAAGGTTTTGGGCATCATTTAAGCAATAATTTACATGCTGATTTGAAATATTTAAATGTTATTTTGGGCCGACCAAAATACTGTCTTGGAGTAGATTTAAATGCTCTTCTTGAAAGTCGATTTAGTTACAATTTTGAAAAAAAGTTTGAATGTTTTTAGGTAGATTCACTCGTTATTTTTCCCCTTGACTTTACTAGTTTTGGAAGCGGGTCATGTCTTATCCTTTTTTTGTTTTATTTGTTTTTAAATGGTTAAGTCATAAAGATGGGGATTGATGATTTAATTAATTGGAAGATATAGAAAACCCTAAATCACCTTAAGCACAAGCTAAAGTATAGGCTTCCTAGATTTTAGGAGCACACCCTAGGGGAGAGGTCATTCCCCTAGCCCTCAATGTAGACTTCCTAGACCTTAGGAACACACCCTAGGTGAAAGTCCATCTACCTAGCCCTCAGTGTAGG